AGAGAGAGAGAGAGAGAGAGAGAGAGAGAGAGAGAGAGAGGAAAGATATTAAACCGTTGTACGAACAAAACAGACTCATGGATCAAAACCCTGAAAAATTTGTGAATAAAACAATTCAAATTCTATCACACCATTCAAAGTACAAAAAATTTATTTTATAAAAAACATAAGCCCAACATCTGCAACAAATTTGTCATCATTGAAAATTTTCTTTACAATCATGTCGAACAGAACTAGATCCTATTTTCATTTCTCAGTGCAATGAACTGTAGAAGAACGATACATATTTAAAAATGCATGCCTGTCAGAGATATTTGGCTTCCAGTAGCTAGCTACAACCAGATAATGATTAGATTAAGAATGAAACTTGAGAGCCGCCACAAGTCAAAAGATCATATACAAATTATCAAGACATGGCCTGCAAATATCACAAATTTAGAATAGTTCTTCTAAAAATAACCTTGATGCTCAAGGAAACTAGTCAAGCACAATTTATACAAAATATTGAAGTTTGCAGATCCATACTGAAAAGGGTGTACCATGTGAATTTATCCTATTGCTTCACAAATAAAGAAATTCACATTCGAAGTTTGCATTGACGACCTGCAAACCTTTAAGACTAATAAAACATGCCACCAGACCCCAACAATTCATACCGAGAAAGAGGTCACCACACAAGATGAAGATGGTGAGCTATGCTGCATCATAATGTCAATCCAGACCAATATAAGGAGAGAGTATAGATTGCAAAGACTAGACAAGACTTGTACAAAGCAAAGGAGGTATTGTTACAGATAGAATCATATATAAGATGAACAAAAGCCTCAAATATAAAACTCAAAAAAAGGAAACCACACTTCCGAGGCATATTTTTTATGCGGTGACTGAAGTATCAGGAATGAGATATGGCAAGGTACATCCAGAAAGAGAGTGAATGGGTCTTGATGCCTAAAATGTGAAATTCATTGATGCCCCAAGACAAATAAATATTAGTGCGCACTAATGAATATCATCACAGAACCAGAGGTATAGCTTGCAACTACTAAATCAGAAGGATGTGACAACCATTGGGATCTGTTTTTAAATTCCACCATTTATGAACAATCCCCAAAGGGATAGACTAAAGCACGCAGACAACAAGCCCCAAGTCCTCCCTATACTCGCACTGATTATAGGCAATCTCCAATTTGTAATGGCACAAATTACATGAATTATAGACATTAATTTATTATATAGGTTTCAAATCCATCAAGAAAGGGAAAACCAGTTTTCAAATTGGAATTGTATGAGCAGGACTGCATATCAAACTATCACAGAAACCTTCAACCTAGACTCTAAAGTCGGCACTAAAATTGCATTAATATTTGAAGAATGTTCAACTCAAGGGTATTCAAATCATGAAATGAAGAGAATACCCACTATTATATGAAGGATTCATAGCAAAATTAAAATATCTACCTGAAAATGCACAATTGTTGACTTGACAAGTCTTGTATTGAACTGGAAATCATAAAAAGTGCTTCCGTTCTCAACCTTCTTGCATTCCTGCCCATTATAATTTTGTGGTTGAGAAGAAATGTTAAAGACCCCATTTCGTATAGCCATGAAAATAACAAAAAAGCAATCTAAATTCATGGAAACACAATAATAACAATTTTAAAAGAAAAATCTTATATCCAAGCAAGATGGAAAACCATCAGCATTAGAGAAAAATTCTCAGAAGGTGTCAGAAACTAATAACATACAAATAAAATTAATAAGATCTTTAGATAAAGATGGAAAGACAGTAGGGTTTTGGGCAAGCGCTTGAAGAAAGCCCACAAGTGTTGAACCAATAATGTTGTAAAGATGCAAAAGTGGCTCTGGTTTTATCCAAACTATACCACTAAAATGCACGATCATCTTCATAGAAACCCATCAAGATTGAGAAAAAAGGTAAAACATGTTTACCATGCCGCAAATCAGGAAAACAAAGAAAAGCTGTGAAGCGCAACATTGTACAACCCACAATGTGTGTATATTGGGAATCAAAGAACATTGCTGAACAAAAGAGAATAGTAATTGGAATTATGGAAAAAATTACCTTCTCCAAATCAGAACGAGACTGTGAAAGGTTCTCATAATTTTTGTACTGCTTCAATCTGGTCTCACGGTATTTCTCCCTAGTAAAATTCATCCTCTCCCATGGAATCCCCTGAATATCTTTTCCATTTCTCACTTCATAGGAAGAAGTATCACCCTTCTGCTTATCCTGCAAGTTCCAAACCAAAATATCCATAACAACAGAGAAAATCAAATACAAATCAAATAGGTTGCATAGGAAAATAAAAATTCACTAAAGAACCCAAATTTGCATGAAAAGACGGACATACCAAATCAACATTATCTTCAAAGTCTGAATCTATATCATCCCTTTGTTGTTGCTCATTATCCTCAAAAGGATTGGCATCAAAGTCCTCCATATCATAAAAATCATCAACAATATATTCCAACTCGTCAGCATGGAACTGAGCCATCACCCTGCATATAAATCACAACCAAATCAGTTGCAGAAACTAAAGAAATTAAAAAAAGTCAAGAAAACAGTTAAAAACACAATCAATGAGTAATTGAACAAATGGGCAAACAGGAGACTCAACATACACAGAAAAAAATTCGGGAAAATAACAACCACAAAGCCTTGGAAAAAAGAAGAAATCCACACAAATGCACATAACAAAGAGACGAAGCAAGAAAACCAGCTAAAAGCACAGTCAACAACTTGCAAGTGAACAAATAAACATAACAGACCTTAAATACACAGAAATAAAGAAAGGAAACGAACTCAAAGCACCATTAACGAGGCTGAGAGGGCAAACGCCATTAAAACTGATAAAAGCTAGCTCAAACAAAGGGATAACTCAGACACAGAGCTTCACGGGCTCTACAGTAAACCTCAAACGGAAAGACTACAAAAGTATCCATGAGACTCAATAAAAAAGAGCCTCAAAAGCTTAAACGAAAAAACTGAACAAAGTGAACGAAAAAATAAAGAGAAAGCAGAGTAAAATACCTAATTGAGTTGAGGTAGCTTCAGATATGGCAGATGAGAGTGGAAAAAGATGGCAAAGGCAGGTCGAAGATCACAGGGTTTCTGAGATTTTGTGAAGAAAAGTAGAGAGATTCGTCGTTGTTCCAGAAAGAGAAAGCAGAGAAAACTTCGTTGAAAGAAGAGGACCGCCAACTCAACTGAGCGTCTCGGAGTAAGAGGAGGGGACATTACCCGTGCCTTGTATTTATAGACTAACTAGGGTTAAGGCGGGCCCCTTAACTAAACAACGAAGAGTCTGGGCTGCCTCCTGTGGGCCCAACAGGCACTAAAATTAGGAATCTCAGAATTGCCCTCCTATCTTTTTATATTCATTTCAAAAATGTTGGACGGTCAAGAATTGGTAATTAAAGGCGTAGCTGACAGATTTCACCGTGAGATACTTTATTTAGAGTGCAATGGTTGTTTTGACCGTCGGATGGTGCCAAAGATGATAAGCTCTGCCGTCGATACAAACAAAATTCGGTTTCCAGCCAAAAATAGAGAAACTATAAATGCTATTTTAGAACATCCGATGAACTATACGATCAACACGTGTGGCGTGAGCCGGTGAGTCACCGAATTGACGGCCAAGATTTCTTCATTGGCGGTTGCGAGAAGAGATCTCAGCCCTCTATTCCTAGAGTGCTTAAAAAAGCGGTACCGATATTACGTCACTTCACCCGGCAATTTCACTTTTAATCGTACGGTGAAAACACTATCACGAATGCTGTAAAACGCGAATCGGTGCCGTCAATTTTATATATTAACCCGAGTTAGAGATCTGGGGCCCAAAATTAACAAGTTAACCTCACCTCGGTTATGAGGCATAGAATATTCCTTTCCTTCAAGTAAAATTAAGAAACACCTCCCTCATTTTTCATTATTTCACCAAACACATGGGTGGTAATACTACCTTTCACGGATCTTTTCCTATTACCTCAGGCTTTTGGGGTCGACTACTAAAATAATTGGTGAACCCAACCAACCACCAAATTCTTACCGCAAGCGAAAATCACGAAACCAGAAACCACTTTTTTTGCCTGGAATCACGAATCCGGAAACCTCTTTTTTTGCCGGTTTTGGGAAAGCGGTTTGGCGGTATTGAATTGAGGTGTGAGTACAGCTAGCCCATATCCCATTTCTCTTTCATTCTCTCTCTTTGGGGCCCACGTCATTAGTTGAAGGTGGGACCCATGGCTCGAATCCCACGCTACCTTGCAGCCATGCGATTACATCTTTTCGACACGTGTTTGGTTCGGGGCTGCCAGCGTGTCACGGGCAAATATTTTTACGGCTTCGACTGAAAAGTGTTACGACCACAAATAGCCAACGGACGCCGTTTACGTGAACGGCGAGAGTCTGGCGGGTCCCGTTTATTCAACCATGGTTAGTTGGACCGAGTCAGTGTGAGTCATTACCGTCTAACCAACGGTTTAGTGACTCTTGTCAGTTCACTTGTGGGTTTTACGAGCTACTTTCTAAGATATTGGTCTCGTGCCTTGACTTGTAAGGCTTCGTACGAGTAGCGGTACCGGCCCGGAAATGATCTCGGACCCGGACGCGAGAGAATGATTTGGGACTCGGACTCGGACTAGGATACAATTGGATCTGAATTCACCGGGCTCGGACCCATCTGATCTGAAAATTAAAATATTTATATATTTAATTATATTTAAATATATTTCATTTAATGAGACCTAAAAATATTATCGGATCCAAACTGGATATGACTCGACCTGTGGGATCCAAACCCGACCTGTTGAATCCAATTTTTAAACTCGTACCCAATTTCCACCATTCTAAACTCATCCCTTCAATTTCTCATATCGGGGGGATCTAGTGCCTAGTTGACTTGAAGTCTCTTTTTTTCATTTCCCTCTTTTACTTGTCGTCATTATTATCATCATTTTAGTTTTTTTTCAATTACTTGGGATTTGCTACATAAATCTGGATTTTCATTCGGTCATATTAAAGACCATATCTTCAATGAGGCCCATCCTTATTTCTCCATAGCTTAAAATTCCAATATGCCCTGCGTCGCTGTTTATCTCCCTTTCATTTGAAACAACTCAGTATTTTTATTCTCTCTAAATATGACTTTGATCCCTTCATCACTTTGTTTTTCTACATTCTGTTTCCAATAAAAGTCGAAATTTTCTAGTCTTGAGACGTTTCAAACTTTACAACTAATTTTCTTTTGGGTACGTGGACTAGAAGTTCAATTTCCTCCTCCTTACAGATGAGTTCGGTTTGTACACGGCGTCTGATATTCAAAGCAAAACACACCTCTAAATTTTGTGAAAAGATGTAGTCGGTATTGGAAATCTCTTCAATTGCCTAAAAATCTATTTTCCCCTATAATTACCAAATTTAACGCCTCAGAATGGTACAAGACAAGCAACTCTAGAAACTCTAAATGTTTTTGGAGGCACTACTTCAAAACAGCTATAAAATACCTCAACACACACTAAAAAACTAAGTGCTTCCCTGCACATGCCTTCCTAACAAAAAAAATTACGGAACTGTGCTATGAGACTATTTACATTTGGTACTAAGAGGTTACAATTACTTAGGGATGTGAAATTTGACGACTTGTGTGTATCAAGAAGCTCAAGAAAAAATTCTTTTCAATTTTGAATCTAATTAATGAAATAAATACAACTATATAATTTGACATCCAATAGTCAAAATTAACACTGACCTCCATATATCAAAGTAACCAAAAGGAAAAAGAAAACTAAGAAACTTGAGAAGTAAAAGAGTACAATGCAGGTGTACAATACCGTTAACTATCCACCTGTAGTAGATGGTGTTACCTTTCGAAGTAATATTACGTGTACTTTTCGAGGTAAACCTTGGTATACTTTTCAAAGTAAAATATATCATTGTCGTGTAGTTTCTTGCCTGCCGACTCTCTCGCATTGATTCTCACACTTGGCTCATGCATCTTCCAGAGCCAATCCTCTCTAACCAGCGGTCTTTCTTTCTCTAAAGTTTCCCACTATTATTTCTTTTTCTAGCCTTCCAACACGCATTTAAAGTTACATTTTCCCAAAAAAAAAAAAGAAATATCCTTCTAACTGGCTTTTCAAAACTCACCCACTGATCAACGAAACGAACAGTTTCTGGCTTTGACACCCCAGCCTCGCACACATTGCAATCGCCAGCTCCCTCTTATGCAATTATCTCTTCAACGCAACTCCCTCTCTATCACAAACACATACTCTCGCTCTTATGGAATTCCCCTCAGCACATGCATGTAACCGTGTTCGATTTTTTTTTATATTGATTGGCACACTTTATGTGCTTGAAAATAATAAAATAATAATATTAAAAAGAGACAACCCAAACAAAGAAATTAGAAGTCAATTTTTTTAAAAACAACCATCAAGGCATCAAATTTTTCTATGTCGATCTCAAAATATCGATCATAATCATAACCTTTTTTTAACTGAACTTTTTTTTAACTGTTTGGAATCGGTTACGAATCTTGCTCCATCATTCCACTCTATCAAAGACCATCTCTACAATGATGCCACAAGTAGATCTTTTGCCCAAAGGAGTAAGTGTATAATACTATTCATTCAAGTATCCATTTCTTGTGTATTTAAAGATGTTGAAAATACTAACATTATCAACATATCTATATATCCCCCCTCTCTCTCTCTTAATGTCTTCAGGACCCATGCCACACTAACTCTATTTGCTATTTTTTTTATGGGATCGTCTACAAAGAGACCATTTATCTTTTGTTCATTGATGTCATAATCATTTACACTCTTTAGATGTCAAATTGGATGGCTTAGGGTGAGTCACAAAGTCCAAAAAATGATTTTGGAACTGTCTATTTAATGATACTTTTACTACCACTCATTTTGAAATTTAAGAGACAAGAATAATTATGACCTCCATACACAAAAGACAAAAGAAAAAGTTTATATAAGATTGATGTTCTAAATAATCAAATTAAGTTGCACATCAAAAATTCATTAGAAAAAGGTGTTTTGACGTTGAAAAACCCTAAAATCTGATCATCTTGACCTTGAGATGCATTGACAAAAAAAAAAATGACTTCAAGTCTTGGAATAGTGCATCGTGTAACGGATTACCTAAATCGTCAATTATCAAGATTTTCAAACGTTCATAGATCTACTCGATCCACGCTATTTTTAAAGCTTTAAATTTTATGATCATATATGAAAACCAATTTTCATGCCATCATTAATTACTTTGGTATTGAAATGACATCTTTCAAACACCATTTGAAGGTATGCCTTATTTTGATTGTTTATGGCCTCAACCTTATACAAACCGCACCCAAAGATAAATAGTCTTCCTTTTTTTATTCCAATTTCTGTTCAGCATGTTATTTAAAAACTTTATTTGTTTCAAAAGGTCCGTAATAAACATCAAATCTCTAACTCACCATCCAACATAAATAAATTAGGATATCAATCTCCATATCAAAGTATTAAACAAAAGAAGCTCACTCTCTCTTCCTAAAGAAACGCTCTCACCACTTTTTCCTTTCCTGTGTGCATTGTTTATTCATTATGGCATTGAAACACGACCGCATCAATCAATCGGAAGTTGGAACGCAACATGATAATAAAGCAGAGATTATATTCAAATCTCGTAGACTATTTAATTGCATTACTTTAAGGGAAAAGTTTATATAGAGTTGCCCTAAACAACCAAATTAAAGCACACCACAAATATCTCACTGGAAGGGGGTGTTTTGATGGGCAAATATCTTTAAATTGATCATCTCGACATCAAGATGTATAGATATAAAATAAAAAATAAAAAAAATTTCAAGTTTTAGAAATAATACATTTTTAGTGCGTAAATTTTCAAGATTTTCAAGTTTTCATAGATATGCTCGATCTACACTATTTTTTTAGCTTGAAATTGTACAATTAGAGATGAAAATATATTTTAAGGCTATCATAAAAATATCCAATATTGAAACTGCATTTCTCGACGCTATTTGAAGATGCACCTCATTTTGATTATTTAGAGCCTCGGCTCCATACAAACCACACCCGTACTTTAATTCAATAGTGGGCAAGCTTTCCATGCTTCCCCAAAAGCATAGAAGTTCTATCCTCCCCTTATCCAACCATCCATTCTGAATGGAGGGCTAAGATGGCTCCAATCACAATG